AATGTCCGACTCAAATTTCTCGTCATTGGGCGATTAGTCGCCGTACCACGACCTTTCCCACGATAAGCTGGGCGAGATTTTTTTATAGTTCCTGTCTGGGTTGACATCTCATTGGATTCAACACAGTTAATAGGATACTTTCTCAGATTTGATAGTTCAAATGTCTCCTTACACAAAGGACACTGTGAAGAATTAGCTAAAGCTAGTTCTATGCAAGAACGATGGAAAATATGTTGACAAATGTCAATAATACAACACTCTTGAATTTGCGAATTTATCGCGTCTTGGCAATAATGACAGTTCAAATTCTCAACAACGGAGGTTCCACACTCCAAATTAGGATTCGGCATAGGACTTCTGAGTATCGACATTTTAAAGTTTAAAAATAATAAAAAAAACAGAAATGAAAATATATTTCCTTTACGAAAATAGATTAAAAATTCAAAACAAAAATAATATATAAACACACGTTTCTTACTTTTGTGGTGAGGCAATAGTGAGGAAAATACTGCTGGGTATCTAAGAATTGATTAAGAAATAATATCAAACTGGGCTATGGAGTAATTATAGGATTATAGACTGCTAACTATAAGACAAACCATCATTCTACAGATCCTCGAACTGATATTTTCGGACTTGGATTCGCCCCAGCAAAACCAAAGTGTATCCAGAATAAAATCAGGATGATGATAACTAAGTCTTGTAGAAAGGAAAATCTATAAGCCGGTAATTTACTTGAAGTACTTTTAACAAAACTACTTGACCTCATTTATACAGGTACAGAAAAGATTGAAAAAGGGACATCCCGGTCAGAAATTTCCGAAACCATCAGAAAACTGATAATCCTGAGAGCCTTTAACAATTATTCCGTACTCTGGCCATGACGGAAAAGAAATTTTAATAAAAATATTTGTTAAGGAAAGTTAGGACGGAGGATGTATGGGACAATTCGCTCTTTAAGGATAATGCAAACACATTTTTATATGAACTTGAATTCTTATTAAAGAATGCTATTTCGCTGTAACAAAGGATAATAAATTCCTTAAAGGATTCGATTTTTTTTTCGCCCCACGTTGGGCGCCATTCTATTTATGTAATGTCCAATCTCGACTCTCATTGATACTTTGTAAGGATATTCAATCCTTGGCTTGAGTCTTATCAAATGAACAGAAAGGATATTTAGTAGTAAGGTATTGATAACTAGTTCAAAAACAATCAGACTGGGAGCCTTTAATTCGCTAGCTAACAGTCGTGTATGGGGGGTTCGTGTCTGTTATTGATCTCAAACAATATCCTTCGGACATAAACAAAAAAATATTTTATTGTAGACTCCCGAGATATAACAAAAAAAAGTTAAATTTGGATGCACTGGTTTTCTGGCCAACTATTGTACCCCGGTTGGTCCAGATCATAAGGGAAAGCGATCGGAAAATCAATCTAGATACTTGTATAAAGAAACTCCTGATGTTTCTTGGAGTTTGTGCCTCTTAACCCTTACCCTTCCATGGTCTCAATGGCATAATGTTTTGTTGGGACCCCTAATGCAATTTCCTCCCTTCAAACTACCTCACCACAGTAAGAAAACTGATTATGGTTTAGAGATTCATCTTGTTATTACAAGGTGTATTTAGATATAAGCCATTAAAGGATTCTAGGAAATTAAATAATTCAAAAAAATATAAAATATATATAACAGAAGTGGTTATACATTTTGAAATTCATTTGCTTTAAATGTAATGATTTAAAACTAATTTCTTTAAAGCTATTTTTGTATTATGATTTATAAATAGGTTCTAGATGCAAGACAACTTGTCTTTAAACGAATCAGATGGATGAAAAATGTATATCTAGGATATTTCATAAATCATAAATATATTATATAATTATTTTTGTAATAGATATATAAATGTTAACGAAATGTTCGAAATTCGTTAATTTAATATGCATAAAAAAAACTAAAACTGGATAAGAAAAAAAAATGTTTCCTAACCTTAACTAATTTTGTGGATGTATTCGAGAGAGATACATATATTGTGATACCAAAATTACAAAAAAAAAACGAAATTTTAAGGTCCTTTTAAGACAAAAAAAAATGGTCTAAAGGACAATATAGAAATTTTAAGTTTTCGGAAATATTTGATCCTTCGAATACATCCTTTTTTAAGGACCCATATGCAAATATTTCAAATATTGATTATAATTTACTTACTTACATCGAATTTCTTATTTTTTTGAGTTTTTCTGTTGTTTTTGTGTTTTCTTAAAGATCTGGACAGCTACATACATTACATTGGTGTGATCGACGAGGCCTCGTAGAACATCTTTGTATGTGTTGTTGTGTGAAGGAAGGATAATGCTTATTTTCTCTGTAGGATTAGAAGTAGTAATAGTTAATCATTTGAAATGTATTGCATATGTTCAGGAGAAATTTATAGAAATTATGATATAATAATTTAAAAGAACTTATCTGACTTGATTTCACAAATTTTATAAATACAAATTGTAATACTGCCGGAGGTGGGATTCGAACCCACGTTACTGGTTTCTAGACGGCGGACAAAGCCAGCTTCCTACGCCCTGGGCTACCGCCGGTGTTTGGACACGGTGTTTTATAAATAGGTTTTGTGTATTTACCGCCACGACCTTGGTTCAATCATCGGAACACTCCGTCACTCGGTTGAGAAGTTATTTTAAGAAATCGGATTTGTCTATGTGATGTCGTAAAGCTTGGCTGAACACATGTAGCCTTACACAATGGCCGGTTTTACACAATTTCCAACTGTTGATAGATTCCCAAGGAAAAAACGGTTTTGCCGTCGGTAGTAATTAAGATAGTAGAAAAAATTGTCCAAAGCAAAAAGGTGAAAATGATGTTCCAACTGGCGGTAAATCTTGTTAACTGGATAAGGACAATTGTGGAAAATCTATAAAAATAAAATAACTGGTCTAACACCAAACTTGCATAGAATTTGTACGCCACTGCTTACCTTGTTTTTAATTTATTACTCTTTGAAGTCGATGGACTTCAAAAAAAAAAAAAAAAAAAGAGATACCAATCGAAAAAAAATCAGAGGTCTTTTTTTTGGAGAAACCTTTTAAATAACTTTTTGTTAGTTTTTTCAATCCTGCTTATTTGTAGCGCTTAAAAAATACCTTGAAATACAGTTTAGTTGTGTTTTCCAAGCAAATTGTGGAACCAATTTTACATAAAGTTTCCGGATTTCTTTGATATTTACGGATTTATATGCACTTTTTGTTAAGTTTAAAACAAGCAAAAATGAGTAGGTATTTTTTTTTTTCTCTTCGCTTAATTGTTGTTCACACTATCAGAACGAGGAAGCAAAAGAATGATTGTCGATTTGTTACAACTGAGGAGAGTGCCAAATTCGTGGTATTTGATTTTCACCACCAACATGCAATATTACGGCGAATTTAATTGACAATACACACGTAATTTATACTTTAGACGGACCGTTAGTTACTACTACATAGCTCGGAATTAATAGCTCCGCCTCTTATCCAAAACCGTAATATCGTAAAAAAAATATTTAGTTTTACAAAATAAAAATAGTTTGTTCTAACCGGGAATTGATCACAGGTCCTTACGCTCCGCAGTCCAGCACGCTTCCTCTGCGCTAACACTGCATGTGTGGCCGGATTGACACAATACTGGGATTAGCAGATTGGTTACATTTCCTGTTACATTTTCCATTAAGAGATAACAAAATAGTGATACAAAATATAACGCAAAAAAATGTAGGGCAAATGAGCAGTAGTATCCCAGCACAATTTTTTAATACCATTGGCTAGGTGAGTTATTGTCGAAGCGTAGTTTCTCACAATAGGCATTCGGTATTTTTAAGATTTTATCAGAATTTTTAACGGATTTTATTTTTTGGAAATTGTCAAATGGTGGAGGGTGTTAAAAGTTCGGCCCGGCCGAACTTATAGCTTTTTTACTTGTTAATAAATAAATTCAGTGTAGTAAAAATATTTGTTGAATCGTCATTTAATTATACTATGGTGAAAAATATGGACTTTATGGGGTCTCCAACTTACAATTTAAATGGCAAACAAAATGAATTCCCATCTTATGATAATGGGTGTATAATAGTAATTATATTTGACTATTCTGAAATCATTCTGCCCTCAATAATGAGATGGATAAAACTATTTTTACTTATTGAAATCACGCGAATTTTTTTTCAGTTTGACATGTTATGTTGTTTTGCCTCTATTTATCATCTTGTATTATAAACGGTGGAAAAAGTTTTCAATGTAGGTCGATGTTTCGGAGTGGAGTATAAAGGTACCTCCTGATTTTACCATATTTCAAAGGATTTTGCTAAAAATTTGTATTTGTGGGGTGAAAATCAACATATCTACAAATTTTAGAATTTTCTCCATGTTATAGTACCCCCTCAAGTACACCTTTTGGCGGACAAACAGACCGACATGGTTAGAGCGACTTATGAGGACTCTAATGCACAATCTAAGATGCAAATGGGTTTAAAAAGTAATTAACTTTGGCTGTTCTTTAATCATTCAGCCCTAAATAAGTGAATTCCAAATTAATGCTCATTTGACTGGAAAATTTTGCTACGATTTTTACCATACTAAAAATTAATTTGATCCCTTACATGGGGATACAATTGATATATACTTTTTAATAGATTTGTAGAGCACATTCACACATTTGAAAAATGTAAAACACTTTTAATGGACCAGTACGTGAACACTTATATCAGACATATCTGTGAATAATTATGCTTTGAAAAATATGCATAATAGACAAAAACTACGGGCCGGCAACGCCGACCGGGCCAGTTAGTAAATATAAAAAACACTACAAATGTACATTAGAAAACAGTAAGTCAAAATGGAAAAAAATCATGCAAAATAAAACATTACTATTGTACATTTTAAAAGTCAAAATGAAAATGTTAATATATCACATTTTACGCGGTTTTTTGGATATTATCCTTTTCGGATATGTGGTGTGCGCCTTAAAAAGGGGTAACCATGAAAATAATTGATAGCCAGAAGAAGAAGAAGAATGTTGTCAACCATTATTAGGGAACAGCTGTTTATTCCAATGACTTAAATGTCAATAAGGGGGAATAATTTAAAAAGAAAATGGACAAATTAAACGAGGAAAATGGCAGCCAGAATTTCCTGGCAGAAATTGTAAGAAAATTCTTTCCTTTTTATCTCATCAGCGAAGAAGATTGGATGCGTGGCTCCCAGCTCCCAGCGAAGTAAAACACCGGCATTTTTTGGCGATAAATTCCATAAGTAAAAGGAATTACATTTATTAATTTGATGTGTTCAACAAAATAAATGAAAAGAATACAAAATCCAAACCTTTTTTTTTGCTAAAAAGGCTTAAATCTTAAAACAAAATATAAATCTTAAAACAAAATATAAAATTTAAAAAGCTAAAATGTGAACATTTAAGAACTAAACCTGAAAGTATTCTTAATAGTTATACAAAAACTAAATAAACATCTTAAAGTTTGGCAAAATTTTAAACAAAATGAAAATGAATTAAAGTTTAAACAAAACAAAACTGAATTAAGTTTAAACAAAATGAAAATGAATCAAAATTAAAACAAAACGAAACTGAATTAAGCTTGAAACAAAACTTAATAAATACAAAGAAAATTAAGAAAAATCTTAAAAATTAAGTCCTGGCAGAATTTTTGGAGTAAAGAGCCACACCATCGCCCATCCAATCCATCGAGGGAGGCGCAGATTTTCCGTCACTGCTATACCAGCGTGACTTGGTATCTTCCCTATAGACGTCACTATAAACTCCGGACAGACAGACGGACGACGAGGCGACATAATTAGATTCCGCGGTTTTCCTGAAAAGAAAAGTACAATTTTTAAATAAAAAGGGGTAAACAAAAGAAGTTTAATTTAAGATTTACTCGCCTGGTGTTGCAGTGCAGGATCCCTCGTTGAATTGAGCTCATTTCGAGGTTAGGTATCCACCTTTTTTTCTCGTCGATTGTTTTTGTGGTGTCGACATACTGCCTTTTGTTTGTCCTGGCCTGGAATTGGAAAATAAATTATCATTTTTTTAATCTTGAACCGGGAATGTAGTTATAAAGCTAAACTTCATACTATTACGTACTTACTCTTTGGGAAGAACCTTGTCCATTAGCTGCCGTCAGTGGTCCTAACTCTTGATACCCGCCATCGAACCCTGAAAAGGAAAAAGAAAGAGAAGGAGCCTAGAGTTGGAATTAATTTTTTTTATGGAGTTAATAATTACGTTTCCTGCTTTTTTTCATTGATTGATAGTATAAATCAATATGTAATGTACAATAGGTGTAATAAAATTGTATACTTCCAAATGAAGATGATGTCGTTGGCTTAAGGCCATTAAGAAGGTGGTAGGGATGGTTTAAACGGAGGTAAGTGAAGGGTCAAATTTGGGACGTCAGGGAGTGGTGACGTCATGGCGAGAGGTGTTCTCGGTGGGAGGGCTATCTCTTGGTCGGACAGCCGCCAAGAGAGCTGTTTCCGGAGGAAAGAATTGGGTTAAAGTGAGTTTAAGATTGAGTTTTTGGTAGACAAGTGTAGTTTTTTTTGTATTTTTAGGCATGTTTCAGGCTTCTAATAATATTCCCCTTTTAGATATTCGTGCAAGCCCGGTATGATATTTTTTTTGTGTTCAACCGAAAAGGTCTTCAAGTGGCAAGAACCACCCCTCACCCGACGAGCCATAGCCGCGCTAAACGCCAGCATACCGGCAACGCCACTTAAAGCCAAATATTGCGATTTTTCGTCATCCTCGGAAAACGGTTGTTACAAAATGGCGCCCAACGTGGGGCCTGAAACATGTCGTTAGTTTGTAATAGTTGTTAGTGATAGTGTATAAATGTGTTTTCCGTATATCTTCGATGAGACCCGTTTAGGTTACATTAAGAGTCCCTGGCGCGATGCTTCATCGAAGACGCGAGAAGACATCATTTATTTTTCAAAAACAAATATGAAACTTGTTCCTTTCTAGTGGCTTAGTCGTGCTAATTTGCATTTACGTCTAATCGCACTAGTATTACTAATTTTGTTTCATATTTATCTACAGTTAAAATTTCAAATAACAAATTCGTCTGGACGAACAGTTCTCATTTGTGGAGACCCGTTCAAGCAGCCTATAAAATGGCAGGTGACGCGCTGCTACACGAATGTGAATTGTTAGTCTCAATCGAATTTGTAGGTTTAGGTTAGTAGTATTTCCTTTTTTATACAATTCCAGTACCCGGAATTAGGTAGCGGACCGCAGACATACCGGAGTTTTCCTTTGGTCCTGCGACAATCTTGGTTTTTGACCAGGGGCCGTATTGTCATGGAATTTCTTAGGAAGGTCTGGGGAAAGCCGCCTATTCCATATTCCAGTTAAATTCCTCAGTTTTTTCCAGTAGAACTCACCGAAACCCTGTGGAAAATATTTTAAAACAGTTTAAAATTGGTATTCCTTTAGAAACAGTATATTTGACCTTCACTTACCTTTAAGTTTACCTTTTATCCCACCACCTATCTTTAGCATTTATTTATTTTTTTCAGTCAATTTCGGCTTGAAGGGTTGATACGCCGTGTCAATTTTCAAAGGGCCTGTGAATGTGAAAAAGTGTGTTAAAAATTAAATCGAATTAAATTTTATGGAATAGGAAATTAAGTTTATTAAATTTGAAACTGGTACTTAAAGTTCTATAAATATATTTTTTTTTCAACCTCAAGGTATTGCCTGAATTCCATAGAAATACCTTGAATTTTTTTTTTTTTTTTCATTTGAGTGAAGTTTTTGGCAAAAGCTTAATTTTTCTTTTAGTTTGGAAGAATTTTGTTTTATAAGAGGTTAGGAAACAACAGAGTGGAATATGCCCAGCACTAGGTCTACAAATAGGGACTCAACTGGCAGGCCAATTTTAGGTCAGAATAGTGTAGTCGCCAGTGCGGTTGTCACGACCGCTCCTACTGTTTCTGTTACCACTTATACTCGAAGTGTTCCCATAACGACGCATACGGTGTCGACTACAACGCCTGGACCGATGCCTACCAGTTCTTCTACAGCACCTCCAATACCGTCGGTTTTGCAAGACGCCGCAAATTCTTTCAACACGTCGTTCTGGTCACATGGAAGTGTCCATTCCCCGAATTACAGCGTGTTGACTGGATTGCAACAGCCATCTTTGGCACCCGGTGTGCCTACGGGTCAGCCAGCAGTCAGTACCGGAGTGCTAGAAATTATTAACACTGCAGTCGGATTAGCGCGGCGCGAAATGCGCGAGGAAGTACGGAGTCTACTGGGAGTTCCTAATGCCATACCGTCATATCGGCCACCACCAGCAGGTTATACAGCACCAAATTATGCCCAAGGGCAGATGCCCAGCCAAGCATCCATTCCCAGTGCCTTAGCAGCTGGTCAAGTAACACAACCACCACCACAACCTAATTTGTCGGGACCACCACCAGTACAAGGACCACAGTGTGGACCCCATGCATTTGCCGCATATAGACCACCACTTTTTAGCAACATGGAGTTTCCGCCCGAAGGAGGCAATCCATATGGTTTTTGTCCTCCAGCCAGTTTTTACTCTGAGTCCAGCGGACGGTTAAATTTGGACAAGTGGGGTATCCGTTTCGATGGCACCGAGAAGACAGTGAATGTCCAAGAATTTATATTTCGTGTTGGACAGTTGAAGAGGGATTTCAATTGCCCGGAAGACGAATTCTTGACGAAGTTCCACCAGCTTCTAGACAAGCCAGCCTTGGATTGGTATTGGAACCAAAGGAAGTTTGTCAATTTTCGTTCGTGGAGCGAGCTTGAGACTGCGCTTTTGAACCAGTACCAGCAGTATGAGAATGAGTTCCAAATACAAATGAAAATTCTGAACAGACGGCAACTACCTCATGAGACGTTCGACGATTTTTATAATTCCGTGCTGAAGCTTCGGACCCAGCAGAAAACGCCTTATCAAGAGCACGACATGGTAGAGATAATGCGGGGTAACTTGAAGCCATCTTTAGCCCAAATGATTTTCTCAGCCCAGATAAGAAGTCTAGGGGAGTTTTATCGCCAAGTTAAGAGGGCAGAAAACTTGATATGGAGCCAGAGGCAACATCAGCAGCGATATAACGTTCCTCAGAGGCTACATGAGCTTGATTGGCAGCAAGAAGAAGTCATACCAGAAGAGATGGAAGTAGATGCGATTAGTACACCGGCGAAATATAAGTGTTGGAATTGCGGAGTGTGGGGACACAGCTGGATAGATTGTAGGGAGAAGCGCAAGTTGTTTTGCTACAAATGTGGACAGGAGAATGTAACAGTTTTAGATTGTCCTAAATGTCAGGGAAACAAGTATCGGGGCCCACCTCCAACGGGGCAGGTGAGGTCAACCCCGGTATAGCCCCAGAGAAATCAAATAGTTATAGCCTTAGTGATAAGATAGTGGTATTGAAGAACATGAATTTAGAGAAATTGAAATCAGAAGCAGTAAAGAATTTGAGGGAGATTAAACCACTCCATGTTAGAATTAAGGAATATAATGAGGCTAAAGAACGAATTTTTGGAGAGGTTTCTAATAAAGTGAGGAAAGCTAGAGAACGCTTTAAGAGAAGAAAAAGAGTTAGGAAAGAAATTGCATCGGCTACATTGTATGAGGGAGATGATACTCGCCTATATACAAAGCTTACGATCAACGGACAGGAGTTGGAAGGTTTGTTGGATAGTGGTGCTACGGTGTCTTGTTTGGGGAAGAACTGCCTTAGTTTTGTAGGAAAAGCAGGATTGGATGTAATCCATTTTCATTCTTTTATAAAGACAGCTGATGGTAGTCCACATCGAATCGTTGGAAAAGTGGCTACAATGGTCAATTTCAATAAGCAGCAGAAACCTATCATTTTCTATCTAGTGCCTTCTCTGAGTCGTGAACTTTTTTTAGGAGCCGATTTTATGCGTAGTTTTCACCTCTTTGCTCAGATTGACGGGTTGTCCCTCCATCAGGTGAGCCTCTGTGACGAAGCCGATGAGATCAGTGATGTGAAAACCCATATATTGTCCGATGAGCAACGTTCGCGTTTGCAAATTGTGAAGGATAAGTTTCCATGCTTTGCCAAGTATGGTTTGGGAAAAACGAATGCTGAGGTCCACTCAATCGATACTGGCGATGCAACTCCGGTGAAGGATCGACATTATCCAGTGTCCCCGGCTGTGCAAAAGCTCATGTACGCGGAATTGGATAGGATGCTTGGCCTGGGGGTAATTGAGGAGAGCGAAAGTCCATGGAGTCACCCCGTTACGTTAGTCCGAAGGGGTGAGAAAAATCGGTTATGTTTGGATGCTCGTAAACTTAATGCGCTTACGGTCAAGGATGCCTATCCATTGCCGCATATAGAGGGTTTGCTCAGTCGGTTGGGAGACACATATTTTATCTCCAGTGTCGACCTCAAGGATGCGTTTTGGCAAATACCCCTGGACCCGTCTAGTAGAGAGAAAACTGCATTCACAGTGCCCGGAAGACCACTTTATCATTTTACGGTCATGCCTTTTGGTCTGTGTAATGCGGCCCAAAGGTTATGCCGTTTAATGGACAAAGTGATCCCCAGCGCAATCCGTGATAGAGTTTTTGTCTACCTGGATGATCTGTTGGTAGTTTCGCCCGACTTTGATACCCACCTACGGTTGTTAGAGCAAGTAGCCGATTGTTTGGCGAAAGCAGGGCTCACCATCAATGTATCCAAGTCGAAGTTCTGTTTCAAAGAGCTTAAATATTTGGGATACATTGTTGGCGGTGGCAAACTGAAAACTGATCCGGCGAAGGTGGAAACTATAGTAAAATTTGCATATCCGAAAACCATAAAACAGGTGAGAAGTTTTATGGGTACCGCAGGGTGGTATAGGAGGTTTATAGCCGACTTTGCCACCATTGCGGCTCCCATCTTCGAGACCCTCAAAAAAGGAAAAAGATTCAGTTTCACGGAAGAGGCCAGGGTAGCATTTGATAAGTTGAAGCAGGCTCTTATAAGCAGTCCCGTGCTTACACACCCGGACTTTACCAAAAGATTCTACGTGCAGTGCGATGCTTCAGACTTAGGAATAGGAGCTGTATTGTTTCAAAGAGATGACGAGGGTGAACATCCGATAGCGTATTTCTCGCAAAAGTTAACTTCTGCTCAGAGGAATTATTCTGTTACTGAGAGGGAATGTTTGGCAGTGGTGATGGCCATTAAAAAGTTTAGGCCATATATAGAGTTAATGCCCTTTACAGTAATAACTGACCACAGTAGTCTAAAATGGCTCATGTCACATAGGGATCTTTGCGGAAGGTTAGCCAGATGGAGTTTGCACTTGCAGG